CTCATCTTTCTTGGCTGTTGAAAGCCGTCAGAGAAGTATTGGGTTCTTTGCTGGCAGAGATTCTTTGGAGAAGGCTGGTTGCATATTATTTGAAGGAAGTCTGAATGCAGCTTTTACATAAATAATCATCAGTCAGCACTGAGTATCAACTAATGCTGCATTTTCCCTTTTTGAGTAAGATTGTGGAAAAGATTGCAATGAGGCACAACCTCTGATTTAGTTTCACTGAGCTGTGTCAATCTGGCTTTGGGAGAGAGTGTGTGTTGGCTTATGAGCTTTTCTTGTGATGAAGGAAGATCTTTGATACCACCTATCACAAGGCACTGAGTCATGCCCTACTGGAAACAAACTATTCTTCTTTAGTAGTTTCATTACTTTATTTCAGAGACTTTACCTAATTCATCTGTGTGCTTAACTCCTCTTCCTGAAGAACTTCCAAATGTGGGGTAGTACAGGGTGCCACCTCTCCTATCAGTGTACCTTGCAGACTGTTAAGGAGGTTGAGTAGAGGCCTGATGTGTGGTGTTTTCAGTAAATTTTGACATACAATCCCATGTCTTCCTCTTCCTTATCTGAGATGTAGTTCAGCATCTCAGCCAGTGTCTAGCTGAGACTGGGACATGGATAAGAGGAAGCCATCTGAAGCTCAACCATGATGACATTATTTTGGGCTAGATGAAGCAGCCACTGAAAATGGTGGAGGCAGTATGAGTCCTTTGATTGTGGGACTATATCCACCATTAGTTACTATCATTATCAACATAGGGATTATTTTATCTGCTCTTCAATAATTACATTATGGCAGGAAAACCAGGCACCTTTTTATTATACCCTCCTGGCTAGGAATTTAAGACCTTTCCTTTGGTATACAGATTTTGCTACAGTTTGCTTTGTTTTTGTTACCACAAGATTAAACTATTCTGATTTATTTTGTACAGGGATAAACCTTTAAAACTATTCTGAGTCTGACGCTGGTGCAGAACTCACTGCACCTCTTGCTGAGGAAAGCACTTTAATTGGAGCACACAGTGCTCTGGGGTCTACACTAGCTACCTGTTGATCTCTGGGAAGACCTAGTTGTTGTAGTCTAGAAATCACTTAATTCTGGGCCTGGCCTTACTGAATAACCACCTTCTTCCCCATGTCATACTGCCACAGCAGAAAGGAACTTGATCATCTTCTTAACAAAGAGAGGCTGTAGACAGATATTGTTAGTGAAGGCTCACAGGCTGTGGAACTCCCTTTACTGCCTACTTTGAAAGAGCCCGTATTTAGTGACTGTCCAGGGACACAGCAGAAGATACCTGCTTGAAAGGGGTTTTGAAGAAAACTGAGGCCATGCTTCCCGAAATGGTGAAAACGAGCTTTTGTATGTGCTTGATTGGCTGAGATCCTCTTAAGGTAATTTTGAAGTGGTAATCACATCCTGAAGTGGTAATTTTCATACTGCTTTTATTGTATCATTAATGATGTGACAGAGTGCTTAGAGCCTTGCACAGCTATCTGTTGTTGTTGTTTTAATCTATACAAATAAGGTAAATACTATCTTATTTAATAGACTATCCATTGCAGTTTTGGCTACCTTTAAACACAGTCTGGCAGCTGTAGATGAAGAGTAGTGAGCAACCTAGCGTCAAATAGCTATTTGAAGACCACCTTTCCAGACTTTGTGATCATCTGCCTGGGGGAACCTCTGTTCTTTAACTTTTAAACAGATTTCTCAATAAACAGGTATTTTTAATGTAGTACTTCATTATAAAGTCAAGGGAAAATTCTACTCATAAACGTGTGAAAGTCTGAAATAATGTCATTGACCCACTCAGGTTCTTAGCTGCTTGATCACCTAAGCTGTTTTAGACTACTAGTTAATTTTGTTCTTTAGGAGTTGATTCTCATGATTCTGTTTTGCTGGTTCCATTATCTCAGGTATCAAGTTTTTATCCTGATAAGTACTATTCAGGTTGATTTATCTTGGCAATAAATTGTGCGGGCGATTATTGACCTTGCATATTTAGTACTGTATAACTGGACAGATTTCTGAAACCTTTCTGTTCTCTCATGCTCTGAGTGGTTTGAGCAAGGCCATTCAGGGATATTCTGCAGTATCCTCTGTCCAAAAATTTCTGTTAGCACACTGCTTAGCATAAAGTCTTCTAGTAAGTAGATGGTTTCCACTTACAGCCTGAATTGGAGACTGAAGGCTCTGTTTCAGATAGCAAATGAGTGTGCTCATCAGGTTTCTGAGATGGCAGCCCTTGCTAATAGAACCCATTTTTCATTTACTACAAAGTCAATGATATGCTATATACTTGTGCCTGTGTACTTTGGATCTGACCCATAGCTCATAGATATTAATGAAAAGCATCTCTTTGGCCCAGTTTTTAAGAGGTGTGTAGGTGTTGCTTTGCTTACTACTGCAAGACCTAGGTGACTTATGATATGTCTACACTGGGGTCACAGAAGTGATTTGGCATGGTAGAACCATGCTGCTTCAATTAGATGGCTAGTGGTCCCCCAGCTAAGTAATGTAAAGCTGGCTCAGGTATCTCCATACCATACGCAACTGGTAGGGAGGACACGGGGGGCACATGCCCACCCTGAGACTGGCCACCACTGCCAACTTCTGCAGGCGGTCGCCACTTGCCACCCCACCGCTGCTGCTGGCTTCTGTGGGCAGATGCTGCTCGCCACCCCACCACTGATGCTGCCACCCACAAACTATGCCCCCCCC